ATCAAGGAACTCTGACAGTTCCAATGTTTGTCTATTGACAGAGTGTCACACCCCTGAAAAAGCATGATTTGAGGGTCCTCCTGGATTGCTTTGTGAGTAGGTAGAAACTATGGCTAAGGAGATCTTTGCCCAACAGTAACTGATGTACCTGGAGCAGGAGGACCTCACAACAGTGACTCACATCCTTACTATCTGTCTGTAGTTCTGCTACAATTCAAGATGCTGGCCATCATCTATCTAAATTGTACTTGCAGGACAGACTTCTCCAGCTGAACCTGATCTGCTTGACGTGTGTTCAAGAGAAACTGCTGGTGATCCCCCACTTCTCTGGGGAAGGGGGGGCCTTGAGCTCATAGGCATTGTTTTTCAGCGGCCATGCCAATTCTCTGGAATAGCTCCCCTTCAAAATCAGGCTTGATGCCACTTTGTTAGTTTTCTGGAAATCAATAAAAATAAACTGGAGGGCTTATGATAACTGATAAGACCCTATTCATTCATTGATTATGAGTGATCTATTACTGTGATTTTATTTTACCACAGATGTTTTAATAGAAACTGCTTGTGTTTTCTGCTGTTAATTACTGAAAACCAATAATGATCCAATTGATTGCGCCAAGTATAAATTCAATAAATAAAAATTCTCTGTGGTCCATGCTTATCCTTTTAATTTACTTGCGTGGCTTCATTCAGATGTAGAAGAATTTTACCTTGGATCCTTGAATTTTTCACCCATGCAGATCCATATGTGTATGAACTCTGGCAGGAATGAAGTCCTACTTGCATTCATCATTCCCTAAAGAGAAAAAAATCATTCTCTTTAAAAAAAAGTGTGAGGGGAATTTTTGGCTCTCCCCTCCCCTCCCCACCCCCCAGTGAAGATGCCCTACATACTTACAACCTGCTTTTGCCCCAGGCTTCAAAATGCCTTGGACCGACCTTTTCAACAGATCTGAACTAGGACACTGCATAAATCTACCTTCCCAAGAATTACATATCGATGATGATGATGATGATGATGATGATGATGATGATGATGATGAACAACACAATGGGCCTCTTCTCAAAGGTGGTTTCTTCTCTGTAGCGCTTCCTGGATCGATGATGTGACTGCCCAACATGTTTATAATCTCTGTATTGCTGGGTCATCTTAAAAGACATTGTCTAGGACAATTATTTGTTCTTCAAACCATGGAGCATATTAATAAGTGCAGTTAAGAAGCTGACATCAAAATCTTGAGACTTAAAAGAAATTTCATTCTATGACTCTTATTCCAACACAGGATGACCGAAGTTTGGGTCAAACCAGTCTACTCCAGTCACTGGCCCCAGCTGCAAATTAAAGTAGATTTTAATTATGAATAGTCATCCATAAACATGCTTATATCACCCCATGGTAAAAGTCCTGTAAAGTAGGAGTTTTTGGCTACCTTACATAAACTGTACTATATAACACAAGCTTTTGAAAAGCACCTTTTGTATACTTTTCTTCCAGATATTCAAGCTTTTCTCATCTTCTTCATTCCCACATTGGAAGCAGTTCCTTAAACAGCTGTAATTCTTCAAGGATGTTTATAGCAATGGAAACAAAGATGGGGCATTAGCTTTTATGTTTGCGATCAGCTTACACATCCTAGAAAATCTAAACTGTTTTGATTGTATTTGTATTTCTGTTTTGTATTGGTATTCTGGGAACTGTCCAACAGTAGAGTAACTGCAAGTGAAGAATGAAATCTCCTCTAGAGGTATCTAAAGAAGAAAGAGTGTCTTAAAACTTGGAGTTATAATTATCTTCACATAGATTAAATAAACACATATTCCAACTATGAACAAAGAAGCAGAACTTTTAGATGTCCTAAACGGATGGTTTTGAAACTGGGAAGTGAATCCTGACTTAATTGTAAATGGTATTGAATATCTTGTACAAGTGTCCTTGAATTGTCTGAATGTTCTACCTTAATCACCATTTGTTGAATATCAATTGGCTGCATCACTGGTGTAGAGAGTAAAAAAGATTACCTTGATGGAGATATGCAGACTCCATTGCCAAGGCAACAAGGGCTAAAGCATTTTTTAAGTCCAGAAAGTTCAGGTAATGTTCAGAAGTGGCTGAGGCACCTCATTCAACTATAAGGAGGAGGCAAAGGGGGAGAGAGAACAAAATCAGTCTTGCAAGATTCTGTTATTACAGCCAATCTCAATAAAAATAGTTGTAGATATTCTGTGGAGTTGATTTCTTGGTGTGGTCAACCTAGTGGGGCTGACACATATTCCAGTAAGCCCTAAACCAGAGCTTACAAGACATCATGGCTGAGTTTGCACATCATGGCTGGCTGGGGAATTCTGAGAGTTGAAGTCCACACATCTTAAAGTTGCCGAGGTTGAGAAACACTGCTATAGACAAATTGCAATAATTAAAGTGCCCCTAAATATAGAGATGTTATTGCATAGTTCTTCCTCAGTAAACAATGCTGGAATACAAAGTTCCAGGATGTAACTTTACTTATAAACTCTCAGCTTCTCTGCTTCGCTTATTCAGTCTATTCTTTCTCAAACATTTGTTGCATAAAGACAGCATTTTTATTATTTCAGCACTGCAGCTAAAATATGATAATGTAATCATGGCTTGCTGAACAAACTATAATCACCGAGAGTCCTTCAAGATTGCAGCAGGATATAAGTGTAATACAATAATTAATTAATAAATAACAAAAGTTTGGTAGAGCCTGTACAGAGGCTATGTTGATCATTGTTGATGGGTTTTGGTGTACCTGGCTATGGACTGTATCGTATGGGTTTTCTTTATGGTTTATTTGGTTTTTATAACAATGTGTTTTTTGTTTTTTTATATTGTTATTAATTGCTGTGAACCACCCAGACTCATATATTTGAGATGAACAGCTCAATTAAATTGAAATAATAAATAACATACACCATTACAGCTTAACATGAAGTGTGACTCCAGCCATTATGTAATAAATTTGTTTCTTTTCCAACTTCCTGATAAACCCAGCAGCTAGCATATCTGCAGTGTATTTGCTTGACATACAACACAGGAACATATTATGCTGCTGTATTTTAATGGCGGCTAATATTTATTTGTACAATTTCCGTAAGGAAGATAAAACATCCACTAGTGACATGTTATAATACTGCCATGCTGGTATCCTGTTCCCTATCCCATTTTTTTTTTTTTCAGAGAGAAAATGCAAGTTTTAACATACTCCACTTTTCCTCACTCTTCTACTGTTCAGGAAAATATCATCATGGATGTGTTGGACTGCCATTTATATCATACTCGGCCAGCATGGCTGGGGATTACGAGAGTGACATCTCCAGCTGCATGAGATTACCAAAGAGTTATATCAGTAACCTTACTAATCACAACAGATGGCAGCACCTAGCTCACTTTGAAAAAGTTACTCATGACCATACCATTAGTGCTTGGATGGGAGACCACTAGGTAATCCCAGGCCTATACTGTACACTAGCCTGAGGAACTGAAAAAATATTCTGGAAAAAGGCAACAACAAACAACTTCTGTATTGCTCCCATTAGAAAAGGAGTCAAGCTTGACTCGAGAGAGTTTTCATTTTTCATCCTTATGGCTCTGAGTGTACTTGAATCTGTCCAACTATAGTCACAAACTGGGCTTAGTCTATGCGCACATAACATTTAAATAAAAAGCAAAGTCAAGTCTTTTAGTTTACAATTATTAACCTCGTGAGGATAAATCTCTCTTCCCAAGTGGAATAGAAAGGTTCCTTTTTTCAATAAGAACAAGGCATGGAAACCTTTGGGAGTTTCACCCCGGGTTATGCACCCCAAAATGGAAACCAAAACAAGACATAAACTGCAACTGTTTCTTTGAAGGAGCTACACTCAGGACGATCCTGCAGTATCCGCTCCCAAAAATCAGCTTCCGGCAGCCAAATTTCACTTTTGGTGCCACTAAATCACCTGGCAGAGTGTTGTGGGTCCTGTGCGTAATCATGTCAGTTTTTTTCCAGGAGTCAGAGAATTATAAGCGGAAAAGGCTTATTGCTGTACTTCAAAACTTAACAAAAGTTAATGTTAGGATTTTAGTCCTGGAAGATCCATTCATTTCTGGTCTTTTCGTTGTGTCAGGATGCTTTGTGGTGATTTAAATTTTTCTCACACTTTGCGTCAGGCGGGTTGGTCACTGGACGCCAATTTGCAGCTCATAGAGGAGGACCAGAACAGCTAATAGAAAACCATGAAATAATGAAGATGTTAATACTGTATAGTTGGGGCTGGAGAGTACCGTTATCTGTCAACCTCCTGCTACCCAACACACACATGCATGCAAAGAGGTTTTTTTAATGGGATGCATGACAAATCAAAGGGATATATTATTATACAACTGGGCACAGAATTTGGGCAGGTCCAATAAGTAGAGATCTAAGGAACAAGTCAAACTGGTTGCAGGCTAGTTGGTGTCTTGCAGGGTGGTCTAGATTAGGTCTGAAAATCCAAACCAACTGCAGCTGGGCCTCTTACAGCTATTATAAATTGAGTGCAACAATATAGGGACCGCCAGATGGCAACAGACATGTAGGAAACTGGGGCTCCTGGCCTACATCTAGTGGTCGTCCAGGTATTTGCAGTTCAGATCTGGTACCCCAGCAAAAGGAAGGCCTCAGTATGAGAAACAAGTTACACGGTATTAGAGTCCAATTTTAATCGATATTGACAGCTCTTCCTTGCTGTTCCGCAAGGAAGGATAAAGGAAAGATATCAGGAAATTCCGCGTCCGACAGTAAAATTGTCACTTTAAATGCATGTGGTAAAATGTCTGCCCTCTGAAACTGAAGCCGAAATCAACAGATGAGTCTTCCGAGCGCCACAAGACTCGGTTGAGCGCGCCCTGGCGCCAGGTATTAAGGGAGGGATCTCTAGTCCGCATGCGCGCTACGCTATAAATGTTCCCGCAAGAAAAGCGAGCCTTTCCCTTTTCCGGGGTGGGGCGGGGCTACGGGGGTTGCCGTGACGTCAGCGAGGAGGAAGCGGAGACCGAAAGTAACTGGCCGGTGCTGGGGCTGCTGAAGCGAGGGGTCCCTGGGCCGCGCACCCCTTCTCTGCCATGGACGGCGCAGCGCAGGAGCAGGACGCGGTGAAGTTTGCGCAGCTGGCCGTCCAGAAGGACCAAGAAGGGCGATACCAAGAAGCGGCGTTTTACTACAAGGTGCAGGCAGGGGTGGCCGGGCGCCCAAAAGGAAAGCCCCGCGCGCTTGTGCGGGCAGCCGGCATGGAGGAACACGGTCTTCTTAGCAAATCCGGCCGGATGAGCTGTAGAGGCGGGGGCTGAGAGAGGATGGGGCGGGCACTGGCGACGAAACGCTCGCATTTGCTCCGCTGCTTCTTCCCAGGACTAGAATCACTTCCCGCAGCTTCATCAAAGCCGGAGCCTGGGCACTTCCTGGCTGAACCAGCCATTGGGTCAACTGCCTTGAGCTTATTTTTCTCCGTATCAGTCTTATTTGTAGCTCCCATAAATAGAGACCCGATTGGCTGAGGTTAATGTGAGGAGTTGGTGGGGGCTGTTATTCTGTTTCCAGTTCCCTTCTGCACCTGTAAACTGTATCTCTTTTGGAAGTGTGCATGTGTACATGAAGGAGCTGGATAGAGAAAATACAGGGAATCAAACTTATTTGTGATAATTAAATGAGTTGATTTATTTTAATCCACATTTCAGTCCACTGATCCTCATGCGTGTTTGTTGATATACAGATGAACTCTGACCTCAGGATTGCACTGCATGGGATAAGCAGCAAGGGATGAGCAGCACAGTTTTTTAAAATTTGGACTGAATTATCTCTGAGTCTTACACTTTTTTGTAGGCACAGATCTGCACCCTTTAAAATGTGAGACTTGGCATTTTGGCCCTGAGTAGCATAATTACAGTGGGGATGTAGTTATTTCCACAATGGTTGGAAAATCTAATTGTAGCATTGGAACTTTTGTGCAGGAGATGGGATGACTTTATTTGTTCATTCCAAGCATTAGAAGATAAGATAATTCCTAAATGTTTAAGGATCCTAATTTGCTCATTTGGATTACCATTAATCATTTATGGAATCCATTAGCTTGTCAGTTTGTAAATAAAACCACTTTTTTACAGTAATTTCATAATATTTCCTAACTGTAGTTGATGCTTAACATCTGTAACCTCTATCAAAGACTGCCTATGTCAGGAAAGGATGATAGCATCCTCTACATAGAGCAAATTAGATATTAGATTATTATTTAATATTGGGGGTGAAATTCATTTTTGATAGGGCTTGTACTAAAGAATTGATATTAAGATTAAATAGAGAAGGAATTAGAATATATTCTTGTTAACTCCCTTTATGATGGAATTGTGCTTGAAAGATCTCTGAGTGCTGTACACCTGTCCTGCAAATATCTATTTTTTGTAGAGCATCATAATTAGTCTGCTAAGTCTGTTATGGATGTGTTTATTCATTTCTTCCATACTTTCTCCCTGGAGATTGAGTCAAATCTGTGAAGGTACATCAAGAAAGAGAGGAATATTTTCTGCCACATGATTTAGCATGATGCTATAGTGAAGCAACCTGTTCTGCAGCCAAAATTTGCTTTTGATTTAGTCAGTCAGTGAGTTTCTGAAGCAGGTGTTAGGTAGCTAATTTACTAAAAACACAAGTCTCATTGGCCCTAATGTTGGGGTCTGAGGAAGCTATAAAAAGTTAAGCCACGTATCCTGGGATTTGATTTGCAGAAGGACCAGAGTAGGTTCTCTCAGCATATTAACAGCAGCCTGTAAGACAGATCTTTTTCTGTTCCTCACAGAAGAGCATTTACTTCACTAGGCCTTAACATCTGTGGTTCTCGAATGGAGATATGGCAACATCCTCTTCCAAGATAGTATTGCCCTAGTGTGGAAGATGTAATTCTACAGTTGAAGTTCTGTTGTACTGTCCATACCATACTTGGTATTCTAAATTTATATTCCCCTCATTAATGGTTCAGCCTGCTCAAAGAACTAGCATGTGCTCTTTATGTTAACATATAATTCCTCAGAAGTCTCTAAAATGTTTACAAAACTTTGCTCAATCATGCTAGCTGTAAAGAAACTGATTTAATTTAGATTTGGTAGTTTAGATCACTTTTGTTAAAAAGTTATTAGCTATAGTATTGAGGCTACCATTTTACATGCTGCATTGGATATTGTATGGAACTTTGATCTATAACTGTAGGTAAATAAATATTTTTAAAGATAGGGAAAAAAAACTATGATCACATTATCATCATGTTCTATCTACTCTGCCCATAATTCAAGATGCTGGTTAAATTGTTTAGCTGAAAGTTCACATTTTGTTGTTTAGTTTTGGCTTGTTTTTTGTTTTTTGAATCTCATGAAGATTTCAAGGGTGGGTTTTTGAAATGCCTTCCAAGTGCCAATTGTGAATGACAGGCATAGAGGAAAATGTTCAGTAATTGCATACTGTTCCACTAGAGCTGAATAAATCTTATAATTTCCAAGATACATTATACAACCTATTTGAATAGGGTGACCAAAATTATATAGGCAAAGCAATGAAAATTCTGATGTGTGGTGTCAACATCGGAAATGCCTCACAATGGAATGGCTGACAAATCAAGCATCATGAGGACAGTCATTCAAATATAAAGTTCCTAAAGCTAAAAGATACTATGAAAACTAATCTCAGTCCTGCATGGCTATGTTATATGTAGTGAAGTCATAATGAATTATCCTTTTGCCTCCTTATTCCATGTATGTAGATTTTCAAAGCTAATATTTCTATATAAGCTAATTATTTGCAGGAAAAAGCTCACCTTGTTTTATAAAGTGCGGATATTTTGCTTGTTCAGAAATGATCAGCCATACTTTTTCAGACATCTAAGATCATATCCATATGTCTGCTTTGGCTGATCCCAAGGATTTGAACACAGGAATATCCAAGACCATTTATCTAATAGGGCAGCCAGGTACATGCTTTGAACATTATTCACAGTACTTTGGACCTGAGTGAGCACAAGCGCATACTGTACCTCTCTATTACTAAATAAATCAGCCCAACTTTAAGCATTTCTTAATGCAGTAGCATTCTGTTTGGGGCTCATGCATACTTAACTCATGCGTCTATCCCGGTCTCAAAGGCATATCTAGAGCCTGCTTTTAGATATTTGTGGAGTTTAAAGGGCAAAACAAGGTTTAAGCCATCTAATGTGGCCCTTATAACTTTCTATTTAAAAAAAAAAAAAAATTGGCCCTGCTCAGTCAAATGTCACCATGATGTCATTGACCTGACTGCCCTCAGAGCTGATTTAAAAAAAAAAAAAGCTTTAGTTTTACTCACAACTAGAAAGGCAGTTGTGTATAAGTGTGCAAGTTTTGGAAATCCTTTGCAAAATCCTAAAACTGGTGCCAGTACTATGTTTTAATGAATCCTTTGAAAACCACTTGCCACATAAAGGCAGTTGTGTATAAGTGTGCAAGTTTTGGAAATCCTTTGCAAAATCCTAAAACTGGTGCCAGTACTATGTTTTAATGAATCCTTTGAAAACCACTTGCCACATAAAGGCAGTTGTGTATAAGTGTGCAAGTTTTGGAAATCCTTTGCAAAATCCTAAAACTGGTGCCAGTACTATGTTTTAATGAATCCTTTGAAAACCACTTGCCACATCTGTTTATACCGATTTATAATTCAGACTATTAGAAAATTTCATACTTGGGCTGTTTTCTTTCTGCAGGAAGCTGCACAAGCTTTGATTTATGCTGCAATGGCAGGATCAACCTTAGAAAATATTCCAGGGAAAATAAGTGAATATTTGGAAAGAGTTCAAGCTTTATATGCTGCAGGTAAGTAAAAAATAAAACATCCTTTCTGCTTTCACTGTCAGACTAGCCAACTATCTTATACAGCATCATCCCCCCAATTCAGAACCACAGTTTTTATACAGGAAATTAATATTCTTCATTAACTCGTGGAATTTACAGAGAGAGGGCCCATCTTTTCTTGCATGGAGGTTTTTGTAAAGTGTGAAATGGATAGAGCAAAAATATACAATTATTCCTCTTAAGCTGAGGTGGTTACTCCCTTTGAAGTTTTTTGCCTTGCACTTTGTTGTTTCAGTCTACCCCAGTTTTTGAGAACTCAGTTTAAATTGTTCATTTGCACAGGGCCTTGCATATGGTTTACCGTAAATACATAGCAGTTTTCACATATAAGCCCGGAGTTGCTGATGAATACTATTTTTATTTATTATTTACCTAGTAGATTTATATCCCGCCTTTTGTGCAGGAGCACAAGGTGGCGTACCTACCACTCCCTCCTTAGTTTTTCCTCACAATAATCCTGCAAGGTAGATTGGGATGAGAGAAAGAGAGAGACTGGTTCAACGTCATCCAGTGGTTTTTAAAGTAGATGGGAATAATATTGCATGTAGTCTGAGTTCTTTGTCAGTTACTAAATGAGACAAGCTAATAATGTTCTTCCTAATTCAGTTCAGTCACAGAGAGTTGATCCCTTGAAATCAAAGCAGCAGCTGGACTTGGAGCGTGCCCATTTCCTGGTTACCCAGGCTTTTGATGAAGATGAAAAAGGCAACAAAGAGGAAGCCATTGAGCTGTACACAGAAGCGGTGGAACTCTGTTTGAAAACAGTACGTTAAGCTACAACTTAACTTGGTGGATTTATGTTATGGTAAGAAATCCTTCCATTTATTCAGGTCACTTTCAGGCAGGGTGTGTGCATACATCCATTTTTTTCTTGATTGTTTTAGAAACTTGAATATACAACATCCAACAATGGAGCCAACAAGAAAGACTATGAAAGGGAGTAGAGAAAATCTCCTTTTTGTGGTGGGAAATTTCAGTTAGGTAAACAATTAACCAGTGTTTTGCATCAGTTTAGCCCTTTAAATTACTCTCCATTTTTTAAAGTGGAAAATATGATGTATGTGCACATCCTTCACCCCTGGTTAAAAAAGTGGTACCTGTGTTTCTATTCAGGA